GGGGGAGATGAGGCAGCTTCAACATTCTTGTTGTGGAAAAAGCGGTCTTAATTGAGATTGAACTCCGCTCTTCTCTGGATCCCAGATTTCTTCTTTGCTTTTTCCACAAAAACGAGTTCCAGTTGACCTTCCGGAGACCTGCCGCCGAGGTCTGAGTTCGAAGAATGCTAAAACTCTGCAGTGCTCGATGAATTCTGAAATTAAACAAAAGAAACTTATCCAACAACCCAGTTTGAAAAATTATGTCAGAGCGGTTTCTCTTGTTATTTCAGACAAATTTCTCCATTTATAGCAATTGAAGTCAAAACTAAGGACCAAACATTATGTGGTAATACTCTTCAAATTAGAATGCAAACATCGCACTATCCTAAAAACTCAATGAGATTCCGTTCGACGCAGACGAGCAGAGATAAATAGCTCATAGCAGGTTATATAAGTTTTGTAATTTGTGCCTGTTTGGGAGGAACAGGGCATCAAACAAGATGGATTGTTTAGAGATCTCACTTATTTGAATCTCTATAAAACTTATTGCAAGCAAATGCTTTTCGGTTATTATTCTATCGCCCACCCATTTCGGGGTGCATTGACCAGAAATGCAGCTCTTGTTGTTTTGGAGAAGACTCATATTTACTTAGAAAAAAAAACAGTTTTCAATGCAAAATGCTAGTGTGGTTCATTTGCTAGTTACGTTAGCAGCAGCTCAGTCCCTACGATAGGTCCGTCTAAGGTACCCAATCTGTGGTTTATTGGGACTGAAAAGAGATTTTCCAGATAGCCGATGGGTGACGAGTATGAACAACTAGGACCACCACTCGGAGCTATTCCACCGCCGCCACCCCCTGCTTTTGATGAACAAGGCTTCCCACCACCCCCACCACTTTTACCACCGCCACCACCACCACAACTACAATTACAACCACTACCACCTCCTCCTCCTCCTCCACCACCACCTCCACTACCATTACAACCACTACCTCCGCCTCCTCCTCCTGTAGCGCCCCCTCCTGCGGCATCAGGTGAAAGGATGAACAAATCTGCAGCGCGCTTATCAGCAGAAAGGACAAAGTATGGCAAGATATGGTCTTTGACCAGAACTTTTGCCTGAATAAAGTGATACTTATTTAGGAACAAAAAAAGAAAAAGTGGAAAAAGACTTGGCTCCTTGGAT